CATTGTTTAAGACATACACCTGTCTAACGTTATAAATAATGACATTGTTTAAGACATACACCTGTCTAACGTTATAAATAATGACATTGGTTAAGACATACACCTGTCTAACGTTATAAATAATGACATTGTTTAAGACATACACCTGTCTAACGTTATAAATAATGACATTGGTTAAGACCTCCACCTCATCCACCAGCCTAGACAACCACTTGTCTCCTCAACAAAGGGTGGCCGCCTCAGACAAGTTGGACTGTTTTTGGATTTAGCGTATTCTGTGTAAGAGTTACTCCACTGTATATATTATTATTATTATCATTATTATTATTATAATATATATATATATAGATATAGATATTTGATGACACGGCTGACCCCGGCACTCACCTGATGCTCCGACTCGTGTGTAGCGATGTCCCAGAGAAACAGCAGGAGGGACTGGAGGACCTCTCTGTTCTCGTCCGGAAGCAACAAGATGGCCGCCTGGATCGCCTCAAACCGCTTGTCCAAGGGTACGTCTGAGGCGAAACGACAAAACAGGAAGTAGGTAGTTAACATTTGGACAACGGAGTGTTGCTGACGGGAGATTTAATGACTTTAAAGGTTCTTTGTCGGTATTTTAGTTGTAGTACAGGTTTTACGGCGCTTGCAACTGCATAAGGTCATATGAGTGCTAGAAGATTAGAGGTGTCACAAGAGAGTAACAAACATAAAAAAGAAGAAGGGGAGATAAGGACGATAGATGTTTGATAGGAAAGAAGAAGCACACCACACCAGAGCACCCACCAACCACCCACCTTTGTATGCATATTTGTTCGTTTAAAAATCGCTCGATCAGTGTAAGATTTCGTCACAATTTACTTTTCAAAATGGCTAATGGTAGAGTTGATAAAAATAGAAATGAACGTAAGTTTCTTTGTTTGCCTTTGTGACCCAGATTTCCTCACAGGTATCACGAAAGTGTAACTTGGGGGCTCTCGTGGCCTAGAGGTTAAGGTGTTCGCCTCTCATGCAATGGGTCCCGGGATCCAATCCGGATAAGGATGGGAAAGTTTTCTTCAATGTTCTGTCGTCTGCTTTTGTCTCCACTTTCTGGCCCCACCCCCTCACCTCCTGTGCTCCCTCCTCTGGGCTCCTGACTCTTTCTGCAGCCTTTCTACTGCTACTTCTTGGCTCCTCCTTACTGCTGTCTTTCAGCCACACCCCTGATCTTCTGGTATGAAAAATCTACACCTAGCCTTCTCGGACAACGCGAAAAATCAGGGAGGTCCCATGTGCAAGTTGCGCATGTGAAAGATCCCTTGGTGGTCCAAAATCGATAAGAGTAGGCTTCAGCTGCCATTGGGCAAAAATCAAAATTTCCTACCAGCTGAAAATGTTTAATGTGGCCAACGCGCTCATCTGACCTTATGCAGTTGTGAGCGCCGTAAAACACTTACAACCCCCCACAAAAAGTGTAATTCTAAAATTAATTCCTTTTATTCTCTTATTTATTAATTTATTTATTCTTTTACTTATTAATTCATTTATTAATTTATCCATTATTTTACTTATTCGTTTATTTCTTCCATTTCCTTCATTTGGAGGCACTCACGCGTGTAGATAGAGCGGAATGTCTCAGACAGTTTGCTGGTGAGCAGACATTCCGGGAGGTCTCGGAAGTAGGTCTTGAGCATGTCGGCCACGTTGTAGGCGTTGATGCCTTCAAAGTCCGTGGTGTCTGTTGGGAGAAGGTAAGGGAGAGGTTGTATTGAAGGTTTTACGGCACTTCCAACGCAAATAGGTCATAAAAGTGCCGAAGATTAGAGGTGTTACAAGAGAGTAACAAACACAAAACAGAAGGAGGAGAGATATATAAGGACGACAGATGTTTGATAGGAAAGAAGGAGGAGAGATAAGGACGATAGATGTTTGATAGGAAAGAAGGAGGAGAGATAAGGACGATAGATGTTTGATAGGAAAGAAGGAGGAGAGATAAGGACAATAGATGTTTGATAGGAAAGAAGGAGGAGAGATAAGGA